AACGTGCTTAATGTAATTTTCTTATGTGGCCCCTCGATTGGGCTTCTTGCCTATGAAGAGTGTTTTCGGTGTGTATGTGGATGCATGACAGCGTGCATATTCTTCTTGGCTTCAGCCGCGCTTGCGCTCGCTCATCTGTTCCACTGGGACAACGACGCTGTAACCTGCTAAGGGAGTCACTCGTATGTGGTGACAACGAAGATAGTGTACGATTTATTGGTTGAAAAGGAGCGGGGACGTAGGAACAAAAGAGTATCGTGACGTCGGAGGGTGGAACTGTTAAGGCAAAGAAGGAAGGAAGAAGGAATCGGGATTGAAGCATGGACCAAACCAATCAAGGGAGTAACGGGAGTCAAGGAGGAGGACCAGTGTGGAATAACGGGGGTGGAGGTAACTGGAGTGGGCCACCAGGATGGGGTGGGAATGGGAACGGAGGTGGAAACGGAGGAGGATGGGGAGGAGGTTGGAACGGTGGAAACTCGGGAGGTTGGAATAACGGAGGTTGGAACAACGGAGGACCTGGATGGAACAATGGAGGGCAAGGATGGAATAACGGAAGGAACGGAGGGAGAAGGCAAGTCCGATGTTACAACTGTAATCAGTTTGGACACTACTCACGGGACTGCCCGATGCCAAGGTTTGGGGGAGGCTTCTTCCAAGGGGGTAATCAGCCCCAGATGGGGGCCCCGGTCCAAGGCGGTAACGGGGGCGGAGGTGAAAGCGAGGGAGGAAGCGGGTCTGGAGAGGTGACGGCAGCACCAGTAGTAAAGTTGAGTAAAGAGCTCGAGGATTCCTTCGGGGCTATGGCCTCGTTCTTTAAGTTATCACTGGAAGAGAAAGCGAGGGAAGAGGCAGCGAGGAAAGAAATAGAAGAGAAACTGAAGAGGGAGGAGCAAGAAAAGATAGCGAGAGAGAAAGCTAAGCGGGTAGAGTTGGAGAAAAAGAATGAGGAGGAAAAGAAGGAAGCAGATCGTTTATGGGGGATGAGGCAGTTATTTAGCGAGCAGAGGATATTCCTACGGAAAGAAGTGAAAAAGGCCGTGAATGATGAGATACACGATATGGTGAGACGAGAAGGAAAAAAGTTGATGGAAGAGGAAGAGCCGGAGGTATGGGATAAGGAGGAGGAGGAAGAGGAAGAGGGCGATGATTTGAGATGTCGAAGGAGGAAGAGAGACCCGACGCAAGGAAATGCGAATGGGGCAAGCCCACCAGCGGAGACACCTCCGAAGGCTGCTAGAGGATGCTGCGCAAGGCAGTCGGTATACCACGAGGCGTCGCCGGTGGAACAGCAAAGAAGGGTCGGGGGAGACCGAAGAAGAAGGAGCTATCTAGCTTGGAGATGGACCCGTGGTGTGGGGTACCGTGTTCAGCAGACTATAGGAGTAGAGTGAGCTACAAGGCAGTGATCGTGAAATTCATCTCAAAGAAATTATGTCCAGAATTGAAGACGATGTGTAAGAGGGAGGGAATTGCTTGGAGAGGAAAGAAAGATGAAGCTGTTGAAGAACTCGCGGAGTTACGCGTCATGCACAACTTGTTCGAGACCGCGCCATTTGCCGCATTCGGAGGGGCAATGCGCAGTTTAAGGGAGCCCGATCAAACTGCGGCTGCACCAGTAGGCCCGACGGATAGGGTCAACAGGAAAGGGACGACCGACAGGGAAGGACGGGAGGGGGGTGCTGAGTAAGCATAGCGCTTGGGACTTTCTTGCCGAAGCGCTTGCCATTCGAGAAAGGGTGGGGGTAGGCCGGAAGCATAGAAGGTTGTTCGGTATAGTTGATAGGATATGTCGACTTCCGCTGTTATTTCTGGTTGTGAATAAGTGCATTGAATTTGCCAATAAGTTTAGGAGTTTCTTAATCGATGCCTTTGATAGAAGCCCGTATGAGTGGCTTTATGCATGCTCTTGTGTGTACATCGTTATCAGCCCGGGCTGTCGGAAGTTCTACATAGGAAAGACTGAGAGGGAACTGGATGTGAGATGGCGCGAGCACGTGGGACAGGCTGGTCAGGAAGGGGGTCGAAACAGGTTGTATAAATGGTTGAGGAAAGTTGGTTGGAAATCCTACGTAACGTTGCCATTTGTATTTGCTGATAAAAACGAATTGATGAAGATTGAAGGGGCGTGCATTGGAAGGTGGTCGCCAAGTTTGAACAGCGTAGGGAATAAGAGGTCGGGACGGAAGAAGGGTAGGAAAGGGAGAAGGGCAAGGAAAAAGGGAGGGGACGGAGTGGTAGGGAAGAGGGAGGTCTTGCTTAGGTTTAGAACCAGGGAGAGAGAGTTCTGCGATCTGGGGAAGTTACTGGAAGAAGGAGTTCGGGATTTTGAGTCAAAGGATGGGAATGTGTGGGTGACTAAGTGGTCCGTTATCAAGAGACAGTTTGGAGAATCAATTGTAAGAGAGAGAGGGAAGGTTCAAACACTGAAGGAATGTAAAAAGATTTTGGAGAAGGGAGGGAAATTCCGGGTGGAAAGAGTGATCCGCGGGAAATATGGTCTAAATAAGGACAAGAAGGTGCTAATTCGTCTGCTGACAATTCCGTGGACTACTAAAGGCCTGTTTAAATTGTCTCTTGAGGATTTGGTTAGGCTTTTTCAGACAACAAGGACTTTTTCGAAGAAAGCTACTAGGAAGAAGATAAAGAATTTGTTAGGTGGGGTTGTGTCGAAGAAATTCGGAGTGAAATTGAGGAAAAGGATTGTGATTGGACTAACGTATAATGATGCAATTTCAAAGAGGGTTGTGCGAAATTTGGTGAAGGAAAGGGTTAAAGAACAGCTTCCGGAGTGCGTTTGCAGGATTAGTTGCAGACGCCTGAGGATTGTCTGGAAACGCAATCAGACGATCGGTCAGGCGCTGTAGAACCACAGGGCTGCTGCCCATAATGTGGTTGGTGTATGCCCTTGTGCAGACTCAGACCTTCCGAAAGTAGGGGGGCATGTAACTTGCAAACTAAGCTCCTTGGAGTCTGTTCCGGAGATCTTAAAGAATGCAAAGGATTCGGTGGCAAAGCAAGGAGGAGATTTGGTGAGAGAAGTTGTAAAGGAGGTAAATGATGGTTTCTTGAAGTTCGGGTTGAATAAGTGGGTGGTTCCGGAAGAAGTGTATGGGGTTATCGTGGGAGGGGGAAGGAGGAGTGAAAGAAAGGGAAACGGGGGCGCAATTGAGGGATGAAAGAAGTTGCTAGTGAACTATGTTCGTGTCCCGCTGGATAAGAACCCGGCTGAAACTTTGGTCGTTTGTCCTAAAGTTTACGCGGAAGGGATGCGAGATTTGTTTTGGGGAAAGGAAAACTTTGAGGCGGTAATTGGAAACGTGTCGGATGTGCTTGCGGAGTGCAAGGAGAGATATCGGGAGGAAGGGTTCGAGGAGATCGGGAAATGGAACGGGAAAGGGAGGTTAGGGAATGCGTATATTGTGCCCAAAAATAAGGATGTTGGTAAGTACCGGCCAATCACACCAAGCTACCCGGAGCCGTCAAGACTGGCGGGACAATGGGTTGCAAGAGCGCTTAATGGGATGATCAATCTGATAGCGCCGTCTTGGCACTTCAATCTGAGGTCAACGGGTGAGCTGAAAAGGAAGGTGGAGAGGATTACGAAATGGGTACAGGCGAAAGGGAAAGGCGGATGCATAAAAGGGATGGCCTTCGACGTAAAGGAAATGTTAAATGAATTACCGCATTCATCGATACGGGAAGCGGTGGAATGGCTCGCGGGGGTTCTGAGGGAAAGAGGGAAGGAGGGGGTGTATGTTAAAAGAAGAGGTAAAGGGGTATCTTTTGCGAAACAGAGAGGAGAAGATTGGGTGTTTTTAAGTGTGAAACATGTAGTGAAGCATGTGCAGTATGAGTTGGATCATACCTTTCTTATTGCAGCAGGGAGATTGCTCAGGCAGGAAAAAGGGGTGCCCATGGGGAAAAGTAGCAGCCCACCCCTGGCCTGTTTATTATGTATTTTTAACGAGGCAACATTTCTCGGATCACTAGGGAAGGACAGGGCACTAATCCAGGGGGTTCGACTCATCGACGACCAGTCGGTCTTTGTCTGGGAAGGGCCGACGAGGAAAGGGAGGGAGAGAGCGGAAGGTGTAATGAGGAAGGTAGCAGGGATCTATGATAGAAACCTGCAGCTCAAAAGGACGGATGCGGGGGAGGGAACCTGGACGTTCTTGGGCTGTGAGTTAAGAATTAGAAAGGAACCAAACAGAGTCGAGATTTGGTATAAAGGGAAAAATGAGGAGGACGTTTGGTCGGAAAGGTATACGTACCGGTCAATGCAGAGCTTCGAGTCATATTCGGATTAGAAGCAGAAAAAAAGGGTCATCAGTAGTGCTCTGGCACGGATCCGGGCCTGCACAACGACAGCCGAACTAGCGGAAATGCCCTTGCTGTCGTTGAGTAGGGAATTGAGG